GACGAGGGAGAAAGCCCGAGAAGAAAGGATCGACGGAGCCGAATAAGCTTTTTCTTTCTTTTTCTTTTCTTCTTTCGAACACAATGTTTTATATCTATTTTGAAAGCATGTTTCTAGGCTAGATTTATTTAGATTCTAGGATTTGTTAGTACTCGGATTGATTTATGATTTAGCTTTTGTTTATTTCATTCCGGTTTATTCTATTGTGTGAGTAGATGGCCACTATGAATGCATATTTGTAATTGATTTGAGACCGAGAGGAGATAATTGATTGCTAGAATTGGAAAATTTATAACGTAGGAGACTAAACAGACCGAGAGGTTGATAGAATCTTACGAGAGAACGAAAATCCTAGGAACTTATGAGAGTTAGTTGTTCATCTTGAGACCGAGAGAAGATAGATAACAATTAATATCTACGATTTGCTTGTTCGAGAGAAATGTTGAAATCAATTTAGCGATTATCTCTACGATTGGTAAAATTAAATAAGGTTTGTATGAATATAAATGTTTCATGAATTAATTCTGAGGAAAGCAGAACCTAGAATCTATCTTTTATATCTTGATTTATTTTTATTTCTTTAGGTAAATTAGTTTTTAGTTTAATTTCTTAGTTCATAATCATCATTCAATTCATTAGTCTAGATAATATTTAATCGTTATTATTTTAGTACTTAATTAATTTAACTACAATCTCTGTAGAATACGACCTTGCTCGCCACTACCTATAGCTACGCCGTACACTTGCGGATAACAAAAATAATTAGCGAACAAGCGTCATACGCTAAAAAATGACATAAACAAGTACGATATTTTATAACATAAACAGTACATTTTCATTAAACAATTAACCGCCTAATCCCCTTATATATTAATACAGAACGCGTTGAGCCTACGTAGTTGCTTCTGGTGCTTCGGAATCCTATGTGGCAAAATTACATGCTTCGTTATTAGGCTTGGGTAAATTTTAATTTAATTACAAACCAAAAGTAATTAGATTCGGATTACCATAAATATGTTGATTATTTATTGTTATGTTACATGTATTAATTGTATTTTAATATCATTCCTTATTATAACTATTGAATTGTATATATTTTAAAAGTTAATAACTTTTGTATTTTTTATAAGTTTTACATATATAATATATCAAATTAATCTTCTTTTGATGAGTTTCGATTTAACATCCATATTGTATGTATAAAAAAATAATTTATATTTATCTTTATAACAATAATAAAATTATTTTTGATATTAATTAGAAAAATAAAATTATTTATCAACTAATATATTTATATTTCAAGTAGTTATATGGTATAAGTTATACAAACTAATATACTATAACACATGTAAGTCATAAGTAACACATATCATTCTAAAATATATAGTAATATATTTTTTTTGTAAAAAAGTAAACTAAATTTAATATAGTTTTCTCGTTAATTTTAAAATTTAAGAATAAATTTTTAACAAGCACTCGTGTAATACACGGGTGTTGTACTAGTATTAAGTTATAGCATACCCGAACATTTATTCATTCACAATTGCACATATATATATATCATTGAACTTTTCCTTTTGCCAAACATAACCCCAATTCTTCAATATATCGTGCAGAGATCTGTCCGGACACTACTTTAAATCACTTTTTAAGATCCAAAGTTGAAAGTACTAAAATCCAAAGTAAGCTTGAGAACTTTGAAATGATCATTATTAATTCGGACAAACAACAACTATACACAATTAATAATACACCCACCGCCAGAGATAAAAGCGAGATGTGCAAAGAACAAACATTTGGTAGCTTTAACACGTTTTTCGTGTGTGTTTTGGGCCCTTCTAGCATCATCATAGTGGACCCCCCGGCCCAGCCCGGCCCGCCCCCTTCTTCTTAATCACTTGCCTTTGACAGCATAATCGTTAAAGCAATTACTTTAATTAATCTGAGGATATATGTCTGTTCTGGAAAGTGACATTTGTGTGCGTGTGTTTTTTATGTTCTTTTTATAGCTACTTTTCTTGGCTTTCAAGGAAGCATGTAAGAATTTTTTTTTTTTTTTAAAAAAAAAAAACCAATTGCCGAAAGCATTGACCAACTACGTGTGTTGATCTAGTTCGTACTTACTTTTTTTTTAATAAGAATGGGCTTGGAGAGCTTAAACTAATCCTAGTTCATACAAGTGTTGCCAAATGCTAGGTATCATCCTTCTTTTGGTGATATTTTAATATCATGAACCTACTTTTGTTTATGAGAATGGAACACATGTAGATTCGTTGAATTTTGAATATGTGGTGTTTGTCCCATGTGGTGAAGTCAAAAACTAAACGTAGGTGGTATCTTAAGTTGGTAATAGATGTAGCTCACTAGAATTAGATTTATAGATTTATAAATTAAATTCAATTTTTTTTTATTTTTTTTTTGGGTACAAATAAAGCGGTTGTTCACAAATTATGAGAGGCAAACGTTCTCAAGTTGTGCTCGATCCACGGAACTACACCAGAAGGCGGAGTAGGAAGCTGATGACACGCAATAGATGTCGAAGCCGCCAAAGCTGCTAAGTAGTTCGCAACAAAGTTAGTCTCACGGAAGATATTTCCATCCTGCCCTCATTTTTTTTAGTCCTTTAACCCGTTCTCAAACTATGTAAAATTTCGATAATCGGGGCATCAGTGGTGTGGGACCACACAGTAAAGCGCACCATAAGAGGCTGAGCTAGTTGCAATTTAGTTAAATTCCATCCCAAAACCAGTTGGTGATGGGAGGAGCAGCCCACCAGGCTTTTAAACTAGCCTCATGTAGCTACCAAATCAATGTGGGACAACTCACAAGTAATATTCTAACAAACTCCTCATATCAGGTTTGAGTAATTAAGTTCATTGCAGGTCTTAAATTCATCAAGTCAAATTCGTGATTTATTTCAAAAGTACGTAGGTCACCGAGAAGATCATCAATGCCAAGTGTTTGAACTCTCTGGAAACTCTCCAAAACTGTGATCTTGATTCCAAACCTTTCAAGCAGCGTTCTCATCAATTTTTGTACCTGTCTTGCCTCTGATACATGTTCACCAAGCATTGTGCTCTGGTTTACAAGGTCACAGAAGCGAGCGTAGTACATATCTATGGTGTCATCATCTCTCATCCAGATCTCCTGAAGTTCGGTAGTGATCCATTGAAGCTTCGAAGATTTCACAGCGTTCGTATCCTCGAATTGTCTTTTGAGAATTTTCCACGCATCGTGAGTAGTTGTGCACCGAATGATCATCTTATGACGAGTTGGATCCACAACCGACATGATTACATATAGTGCACGGAAGTTCGCTTCTTCGGCTAGTCTCTCTGAATCAGTCCACAAGTCCCTTGGTTTCTCGGCTAAAACAGGAGTGGTCGAGGTTGATGATTTTGATTCTGAGGACTCATCAGACTTGTATTCTGAAGGAACTTTTTGCATGAGTGGTGTAGACCAGACTGATTCGACGACTTTCCAGGTTCCTTTTCCTAGAGACCGAAGAAAGATTAACCATAATGGATTTCCAATATCCATAATTAGATCCATCAAGGAATGGAGGGCGCGAAACAGATATTCTATCGTGATTCATGGTGACCAATACACAATCCCAAATATCTTTATCCTGTAAGTAAAATAGGAACACTGCTTTAGTGCCGATTGAAACGTATATATTTTACGATGAGTGCGCTTAATGATGTTAGAATACAAGTAAACAACTAAAATAGTGGAAGCAATAAACCGAAGATATAAAAACTCTTTAGGGAAGCGTCCCACTTCCCCTCAAAGATCTTTGATTCATGAACCGTTTAAGTACACTTGTATAGTTTGAACTTACACGACTCCAACTCCCTTCTAGCCTAGCCACAACTACACACGAATCTATCAATTACTTCTTTGGCCATATCCCGTGGACTTTCTAACCAACACTTAATCCCTAAGTGTTAAACGTGAATATGTCTGAATAAAAAATGTAAAAAGGAAAACAAAACAACTTCAGTTCTTCGGTATGTAAGAACACCAAAAACTGAACTGTAAACAAAACGAAAGGACTTGAAGCTCGAATAAAGCAAGGAATATGAGAATGTCCTTAAAGTAGGGTATATATACAACTCCCTTAGGCATGGAGTCTTCTCTAAGTTGTTTCCTTCCATCACGGTCCCTCTTGATTTTCTTCCCATAAATATTGTAGAAAAATGGAAAGTAGATCTTCCTTGATTTCCTCTAGATCTTCTTCATGCAACCACGAGTTTTTCTCTCCATCCGCCATGCATAACGATTTCCTACATACGAAATAATACCATAATAAGATCATACAATCTCTTATATGTATATATAATATAAACCGAATATTAACAAATAAGTATACATAAACCGAATATTAGCAAATAAGTATACATAAAAGAACTTCCCTTATATAGATTCCTTATGCTTGTAGAAATATATCTTCAAATACACTTATTTTTGAATTTATGCCAAAAAATATCTTTCAGAAATTATAATGTGGAGTCGTGTTTTTCTATTTAATTGATTGATGCCATCAACGATATGGAATTTGTAATCGTAACATCACAATATCATTCCGTCGAAATTTGTAATCGTAACATCATCATGTATCGTCGTAGATAGTTCATTTAACAGTTATGTAACCCAACGAAATGGTTCCGTAACGGATAAAATCTCCCTAAGATATATCCTAGATATCATGCATTAACATTTTCTTTTTTCATGATGATAACGTAATAAATAGTCCTTGGCAAATCACATTTGATTTAGAGGAAGAATTGTTCTAAAAAACCAAAACAACTACAATCAATATATAATATCAATTTGTTTCCATCCCCTAACCTAAATTCAAGCAAAAACCCTAGGACAAAAGAATACAAAATAATTTTTGTAAACAAATTAAGAAAATCAAAATCGAATTAAAATAGGGACGAAACAAAAAACAACATATATGATTTCAAGTGGAGGACGATGGAGGATAGTGCCCGAACCTCCGCGGCCCGTCCGGAAAATCCGAACGGGGACCGCCACCTTGTGCCGGTCGATCCTCTCCCGGAGTCCCGAAATGTATCGTTTGCCCACTCCCGAGCGGCAGGGGATCGTGGACATTCGAAGACAACGATTGAGAAACAAACCACGGCTCGTCGTACGAAGAAAAACGGGGAATAGAGGGGTAATAATCCACGCTCGGTTGGTGTTGATACGTGTCGTAGAATAAGCTCTCGAGCGATGTTGATGTTGATTGAGGCGGCTGAAAGTCGATGCTGCCCTGGAGCAGACGCGAGTATTCCAAATAGTCTCTGGCAGCGGCCGCCTCGGAAAGTGGCGGTGGAGGTGGCGGCGAAGGGGCGGCCAGCAGTTGGCGGTGGGGCGGCTGCTGATGAGGTGGCGGTGGGATTCGGGCATTCTCGGGGAAGTTGAGCTTCGCGCGGTGGCCGCGGAAACGGAGGGCAGCCTCATCGTAGGCTCTGGCGGCGGCCTCGGCAGTGTCGAATGTGCCGAGCCATACACGGGCGGCCTTCTGTGGGTCCCGAATCTCGGCGGCCCATTTACCCCACGGCCTTTGCCGGACTCCTCGGTATTTCTGCCGTCTTTGGCCGGTTATTCCGGCGCCGGTGGTGGGAGGTGGCGGTGGTTGGGTGGCAGGGGTGGCCGTGGTCGGTGGCTCTGATACGAAAAAAAAAAATAGATTCAATGATGCATGAAATTTTGATGTATTTGCTTGTTTTATTTTTATATTAAGGTATTTAATATCATGATATATACTTCTATTCCACATAGGGATTGTAAAAATATAAATGAATTTCTAATTAAAAAATTGAAGTGTAAATTCTCAAGATGTTGCAGCTATATATATCCAATGTAAAATAATTAAACTAATTAAAACGAAAGTAAAAACATAAATCCCTAAATAATAAGCCAATTTTTATTTTTTTTTCGGTACAATAATAAGCCA